TCCCATCAGGAGTTTACTAACAGTTTCCTGTCACACCCTTCCCAGTTCTAAACCCTATTTCTTTCTTATTAGGTAATATTCCTAGGTGCCAGAGCAGTGAGAACTATCTTTTTCAAAACCTTTTTATGTAGCTAAAACTGAGTTCTATTACAATAATATTGCTATGACTTTGGAGCGATACTCTCGTAAAAGTTTTCTTTTACAAAAAGTTCTTCCATGGCATATTGCAAATGAATTACAGGTGGACTGAGGAATCAGTTCTCAGCACTTTGGAAAGGCTGGGGGCGCTTGGCATGGCTGGTCTGATCCATTCACTCAGGTACATCATCAGAGGTTACTGTTTTCTCTAAGACAGACATGAAGGGGCTGGGAAACCCTTAACTGAAAGGGGATAGTTCTCCATAGACAAGGCTATTCTGATAGGTCTTCAATTTGATTCCCTAAAGTGTCAAATAAACCCAACATTCAAGCTCTCGGGTTCTTGGGCTTATCTACTCTCACACTTAGAGAAACTAGGCTGCCAGGTCATCTGACAGCCTGAGAAGTTCCTTTTTCAGGCACTTTATTCTGTCTCCCCAAAACTCAAAAAGGCGTGCCAGGAGATATCAGTGAAAGAAACAATAAAGCTGTTGGTGCTACAGGTTTGGGGACCATTCACCTGGGCTTCCCCGCTTTACTGCTTCTTCCTGAACATGGAGGACACTCAGGCTTTCATCCTCCTGGGCTTGAAAAGCACATTCCCCTCAACCTCCATAAATCTGCAAAACTTGAAAAGCGCCTCAGTGTCATCAAGTAAAAGAGAGGGGCTTTAGGAATCTCTCTGGAAGGAGGGGTGTCTTCAAGCCTCTCACGGCTAAGCCGGACATTTCCTAACACTGGACAAATTGTATGTCCAGCTCAGGGAGGGTGAACTGCAGTGGTCTTTTACCCTCCGAGCCAATTGTTAGCTTTTCACAGGAATCAGCAGGGAAGCACATGTGAAACCTCTGTGGTGACGGTGAGCACCCCCAGGCCTTGTGTGACTCTGCATGTAGATGAAGCGGGCTGGGAGCTTTCTGAGCTGCTGCTGCGAGTTCTCAGAGCAGCCCTTTTCTGCGGCGTGGCTCCCTGCTGGGACAGCCCTTTTCAATCTTTCTATCCCCCCTCGATCTCTTCTCCTGCGGAACACAGGGAAACTTGATTGAAATAAAGGCCTAGGCAACATGGTTTATTTTCTCCTGTTCAATCCATTTTAGAAAAGCTTTTAATTGGTTTTAAAAAGATGCTAAACAAAATGTGATGATGTTTCTCAGTCTTCATGAACTGCAGATACCACTTTTTATATTCTCAAAGGGCTAATAAATCAAGAAATTAACTCTGCAGTTAAATTTAAAGCAAATCCACTGAATACCAGGTTCATTAAAAATCTATGCATTTACTTACAAAAATTTAAAATTCAAAGAAAATTATCCTAGTAGCTGAAATCTGACTTGAATTTTCAGTCCTACACTGAAAATCCAAGACCAAAGCAATCACAAAGGGAAAAAAGGAAGGCCTGTGAGCCAGTTTTAATAAGCCAATTTACAAGAGGGAGCGGAGAGGGGGAGGACAGAAGAGAATATCTTGATACAGAACAACATCGTGCCCCTAGAGGGGTTCTTTTATTTGAGCGTGTGCACACACGCACACACAGTTTTTCTGTGTGAAAGCTGGAATTACAACAAATGCAAAATTAAGGATTCTGCGACTGATATGATTACTGTATTGTCATCACATGTGCAAGCCTCTTTTTAAAGAGAAATGCCTACAACATATCTGTTTTCTTGATACTGATGAAATAGTTTTCTACACAGCTACACATATCTTTACAATATCCAGATTTATATATATATTTTAATATTCAGTTGAAAGTCTGAAAAACCTACATGAAAATGGTTTGATGAGGTGAACGCTTCTATTTCAGAATGATAGATGTTCTTCCTAGGCAGTGAAGCCAGAATGACAAACATTCTTGACACTGGATCAGCCTTATTTCTCTGAGAGAATACAAACTAATTTAAAAAGCAAGGTGGTAAAGAGAAAGCCTGGTTTTGCTTTGTTCAATATATGGCAACTAGCAATATTTTAAACATTCATTTCCTCTGCCACAGAGGGTCATTTGGCAGTCCAGGGCAGTCACCAAATTCTGATTAATGAGAGGCTGGTATTCTCTTAAAAGAGCATCCCTGCCATTTCCAATCACTAAGGCAACCAGCTCTCGCTTCTACTTTTTACATTTTCCTATCTTCTTCCTTTTCAGTCCTTAGAGAAATTCATTCCATGCCCCTTTTTAATGATCCAATTCCTGTCTCTAAGGTTTCTCCCAAGCCGGACATGTTCTTGGATGTGCATTCCTTCCAGCTCTCCACCTTCCTTTCATCATTTAAGTAGCTTCTGAAAACACTTATTTTGGGGAGATGAGGAGAGTCACCACTTTAATGAGGTAATTCATATAATACAGGATACACTGATTTAAAGGAACAGTTCAATGATTTTTTGGGTACATTCACAACTATGCAGCCATCACCACAATTGATTTAAGGACATTTTCATCCATCCAAAAAGAAACCTTGTACCCATTAAGTAGTCACTTCTCATTCTCTCTAGCCACACCCCCCAGTCCTAGGCAACCACTAATCTACTTTCTATCTCTACAAACTTGCCAGTTCTAGACATTTCCTTAAGATGGAGTCATACAATATACAGCTTTTGGGACTGGATGTTTTAAACACTTAGCATGGTTTCAGTGTTCACCCAGTCATCAGTACTTCTTTTCTTTTTATTCTGAATAATATTCCCTTGTATATATACAACCATTTTACTTTATTTGATGAACACTTGAATTGTTTCCACTTTTTGGCTATTATGAATAAGGTTGCTATGAACATTCATGCACAAGCTTTTGTGTGGACATATATTTTTCTTTTGGGTAGATACCTAAAAGCTGGATTATATGGTAACTCTATCCTTAACTATTTGAGGACCTTCTAGACTGTTCTCCAAAGACCGCACGATTTTTATATTCCCATCAGCAGAGCTTGAGGGTTTCAATTTCCCTATACATATGGTGACACTGTAATTACCTTGCTGATCATGGCCATTTTCAAGGGTATGGGTTGGTCTCTCATTGTGGCTTTATTTTGCATTTCCCTGAGAGATGTTAAGTATTGTTTCATGTTCTTATTGACCATTTGCTCTTTAGTTATTTTTGAATGTTTTCACTTTATTCATAGCTTGCCAAATATAAATGACAGCAATACCAAAATACTTTAACCCCACCTTAGAGAAACCATAGAGAAACCTTAGAGACAAAATACTTTAACCCCACCAAAATTTTTTGAGGGAAACTCAAAAAATAATTTTGAATGATATATGTATATATATATATATATACACACACACATATATAGTTGAATAAACTATTCTTGAAGTGCATATGTATAAAACTGTGACAGATACTATAAACTTTAAAAGTATATTTCTTTCCTCAAGAGTCCTAAAACTATTTTTTAAAACAGAAATGTTATTCCTAAGTCTTTAATCGGAAATGTTCTATTTACTTCTATTAGTATCTATTTTGGATTGCAAGTAATTCTCAGATAGTGGATATCTTTCTGCTTAAATCAATGTATATAATATTTAACAAAGTAAAAGACAAGCAGTAAAAAAAAAATACTGAAAACATAGTCTTCCCTCTCTAAAAATTCTTTTAAGTTAAAAAACATTATTATTGAAATAGAGAAATGCCTGGAGAAATCTCCCAATCTAAAAATTCATTAAAATGATCTTTCAGTATGACACACACACAGCTACTGGGAAAAAATAACCTATTTTTGTTCCAGCAATTTTAAGGATCTCTATGTATTTATTGAAGGAACCAGAGTAGGAGACATATACTCATTTCTCAAACTTCAGCCTTACTAAAAGTTAAAACTCCAGTTACTGGGAATGACAGTTTATGGAAAGATGATTAAAAAAATCTTTTCACAGCACATACATGTAATAAATTTTTGTAGGTTTTATGTTATGTTTCTTTCCATTCTTCTAGAAATTAAAAAAAAAAAATCCAAAGCCAAATACTCAGATAATCAAAACAAGTCCTTTACCTCTAGGTCTTATGTATATATACATAAAATTTTAGCTGTTAAATTAAAAATTAGATTCACCAACTTAACATTATTTCCCATACAGCTTAGTTTATACTCAAATATGAGATCAAATATGACTTCAAATATGAGCGCTCATACAGTATTAAGATGTTTTTCAAGTTAGCACTTAACCCCTTTGCATCTGCCTTTGATTGGCATTTCTTCAAGGTTATAACACCCAGAATAAATCAAGACAATACGTGTCTTGTGTCATAGCCAAACACGCTCTGCAGCCTCTACATAATTAACATATTTAACCAATCAGCATAGGTTAGCTTTAAGTGTGTTAAGCTATCAAAGCCCCTGTCTCCAATAACTGTATCAGTGGAAATGTAACTAAAGAAACCAAGATCCTAGCTATAAACTCATTCTCACAAGTGCACATGACACAAGAGAAATAACTCAAGCCCATCTGTAAAAATTAAAAAAAAAATCTACTTACAGGAAATAAACTTAAGTTTTCCCAAAACAAATTCTTAGGAAACAATTAACAAAATCAAAGGGAGTCTTCACTTTCTTCCACTTTAATAATTTCTCATGGAAGGTTGAGGCGGATAGGGAGGTGACAATGATAAGGAATTTATCAAACAACAAAAAAAGCATATTAATAAAAGCTGTGGGATTTTGAGATCTTCAGAAAAGGAGTGGAAAACTTCTCTGATTGTTAAAATTACTTACCTGAAGACAGAAAGCCAGTCTGACTGGACAATCTTTCCAAATCCTTCAACAACAGAAATATATGTTTATAATAACCTGTTTATTTAGAGAGAGTTCACCATTATATAAGATTTAGTGGAAACACTGTGAAAATGCTCCTTATTATATTATTTTTACCTGAGGAGGTGCCTTTTTCAGTAACACAAGAAGAGCTTGTAATACCAGGTTAGAAAATCGTGGGCCAATAGGGACATAATCTGAAAGAGAAACATTGCTGTGTTTAGAGAGAAACACATATGCTAAAAATTCAGATTTTTCTGCATTAGGCATAACAAGTCCTCAATGAGAATAAGTCACACACCTAATGAGAGTAAGAAAAAAAAAACAACTCTCCAATAACTGTAACACTTAAAATATTATATAAGAATTCCTATCTGTAATTTTTTTTTAAGAGTTTCTAAATATCCATGTTGAGTTCATGTAGACATCTTTGTCTGGTATTCAGAGGGTTTTTTGTTTGTTTTTTTTGGGGAAAAACCTAGGCTTATTTTCCCAGCATTTCCAAGAAATTACTGCAAGCCTGACAATACAGTCTATATGTAGGGAATAAAACAAGAAAGATACCAGAAAATGGGTAGAGGAAATGTCAAGCAGTTATAACATAAGTATGGCATTTCAGTGTCACTGAAGTGATAGTAGAGCCACTAAGATTGGTCCTCAGATAGAGACGAACAAAGAACTTTCTAATAGAACTTTTGACTTGTTAAACTCCTAACAATCCTTCAAAACTCAGCACAAATGACACCTACTCAACTTCCTCTGTGTATTGCAGATGCGCCTGGCCTTGTGTTTAGAGCTACCTTCAGGCATTGGGAGTCAAAAGTGATCCTTTCTTTTTCTGACTCTCCAGAACATAAGGTACAGTCTACATTGCATCAATTTTTTGCCAGTATATGTTATAATGACAGACAGCAATTTTTCCCCTGAACCCTAACTATCTAGCACAGTAATAAGAATTCTCAGCAAATGCTTGCTGAATAAATGAACAAGTATAGATAATAACTATTCATACGAGTGAAAATATAGTCTGAGGGCACACATTCCTGACATAATGGTGTTGCTATGACCACACATCTCAATTGTGTTTAGATAAAGGAATTTACACAGAGCTATGAGTATGTGCCTAAGAGCTTTTAAAGAAATAATCCTATAAACTGGACTGAAATGTATCAAAAATAGCAGACCAAAAACCTAAGTCAGTAGATAAAACTATCAATTTAAGAAGACCTCACAGATATACCTGCTTTTGCTTTATAGCAAACATTTTTCTAGGAAGCAGGAATATAAATAACAGCACCTAAAGCTAGTCTGGAAATCCTGGGGGAAATGCAGTAAGAACAATTAAATTGAAATCATTACTGCACATTACGGATAGCTTAAGGAAGAAGGAATTATTGAGGTGGTGGATAGTATTTTCAGAGGTTAATTATTATGTCACCAGATGGGATCAATTTCAATAGAGTTTATTCCAGCATCCTACATCGCCATTTGCTGGATTTATTCCAGATTTATCTAATTTTTGCACTGAAATGAAGTGTAAGAGTAACAACACTTTTCTGTCATTTATTTGTAAATTACAACTTCTGAGCTGAGGGCAGGGACTGTCCCAAAGATGACTAGGGCAGTCCTTGCAGGAGTACCCTTAAACAGAGGAGATACTTTGAAAAATTACCACAGAGCACTTTTATTTGTTGTTTGTTTGTTTATTTATTTATTTATTTTAAAAGATTTATTTATTTTTATACAAGAACTGGGATAAAGACCAGAGGTGCGGGAGGGTGAGAGGATTCACCAGAGACAGAGTGGGGAGCAGAACAGGCAGATGAACCGAAATACACTGCTGAGGGGAGCAGCGGGTGAGACAGGAGAGGTCTGCTGCACCATGTGTGTTTCTCCCTGGCCAGCCGGGAATCGAACAGGTGCTGCAGAGGCTGTGGACAGCTTCACAGCGCTGCACTAAACCCGCTGCGCCACCAGGGAGCCCCACACAAAGCACTTTGAAACTTTAGAATGTTTTCAACATTGTTATCCGATTTTTGTCTCCACGATTTCTTTGTGGAATAAGTAAATAAGTGAAATATAGTCTCTGATAAGAACAGAAACTGAGGTACAAGGAGTTTGCAACTTTTGTCCTCAGTGTTGCAGCTAAGTTTAGCTATCACTCCTATCCTAAACCCTTCTTTCCTTAGTTCTGTCCAAGTCACACGTGTAGCTCAGAGGTCCCAAATAACAAATACATCCATCAGCAAAAATTACTAATCATTTATTGTGGGCAGGGAACCTTGTGAAGACACAAGGCCGCTTACAGGAAAGCAGTTAATGTTATGGTCATAAGTCATTACTGACTTCAGATATAAGAGGTGATGCTGTATTTCTCCATAAGACAAAGAAAGGTACTCCTGTTGTCCTGTAGTTCATAAATCCCCATCACTTTTCTCTTGTGATTTGTGAAACATTAGCTATAATGTGCAAAGGTGGTACAATGGCAAAACTTAGGACTCACCAAGCAGTCTCTCAATGTCATCCACAACCACACAACTGAGCTGGGATTTGTATGCATCATCAAAGATCTGTAAGAAAGCAAAACCATTTATTATCTCAGTGTCCTCCATAATTATGATTTCCAAGAAGAGAGAACTACAGTCCTTATGCAATGCCTAAAGCATAGTAAACAACACCAAATTTCAGACTACACTAAATTAGAATTTAATAGGTAATAGGATTTTAGAACTGAAAGAGTCCATGCAACTTAAAAGTGAGAACATTGAGGCCCAAAGCAATTAAATGACTTGCCCAGGACGGCACAACTGCTCAGGTGGCTGACAAGAAACAGGCTGTTTCCAGCCCCAGAAGCTGACTGTGTCACATCTGGGCACGCCAAGGAGCAGCTGTCATTAATCAACAGGCAAATCCCATCAAGTCGATCACAATGGTCTCTCTTATCTATGTGCACATTACCTCAGTGTTGTGACTCAAGAGCTAGATGGAGTCACATGGGATGTGCAGAATAAAGTTGGATGTCACTTTATTATCTGTAAGAATTATGGTCCTGCTAAGCATGAATAACATGGAATGAACAGAGGTCCATCAACTCAAATCAGACCATAATGTGAAAATGTTTACAAGAGAATTAAAGTTGGGTATAAAAGATCAGAGAGATATGATTCTATCTTTGGAACTAGTGAGAAGATAACAGTATGTTGTTTTAAGACAGTCAGAGAAATGCAATTAAAGCACATAGTGAGGGAAGTTGTTAGATCCTGATCATGTAGCAATTTCAATTCCAAGCGATACAGAAGAATTAATTTATATGTAAGTTGAAAATAAGTTTCCGAGATTTTGAAATCAACGTTTTTGTAAATGTTGGGCAAGTTCCTCTTCCAGCAACTCAAATTAGGGCTCAGTGTATCTCATAGGTGCCATTTGTAAGAATTAATTCTTGTGTCTCACCCCAGTCTCTCTGGTTGATAAATAACCTCAGTGCACCAAGATGATAACTCCTCCCCATATCTTGCATGGGATGACATAATATTTCTTAGAGGGCATCTTTTAAGTGTACAAGATTAAGAGTTGAATATAGGAAGAAAGTAAGGCAAACTTACAATGTTAATATTTTTCATACTAAGCTTATTTATTTATTTATTTATTTATTTTATATAATTCTTACATCTTTTTTCATCTTTGCACAATGTATGCATTTTCATTTTGGTTATATTCCCCATACAGTTGCACCTCCCCCTTATTTTGACTCTAGTCCTTCCTTTCCTCCCCCCTCCCTCCCCCCACCCCCTGTAGTGTGTCTCTGGTTTATAGTTGCTTGTAGATTTTGATTTTTACTTTGTATTGATTAGTCTTTTTCCTGGTCTCTTATTTAGGTTTTCTAAATTCCTTCTATGAGTGAGACCATCCGGTATTTTTCTTATTCTTTCTGACTTATTTTGCTGAGCATGATCCCTTCTAGCTCCATCCATGTTGCTGCAAACTGCCTATGTACATGCAAAAGAATGAAGCTTGACCACTACCTCACACCATGCACAAAAACCAACTCAAAATGGATTAAAGAACTAGACATAAGACCTGAAACCATAAAATACATAGAAGAAAATATAGGCGAAACACTACATGACATGCACATCAAAGACATCTTTACAAACACATCACCCAAAGCAGTGATAGTGAAGGCAAAGATAAACAGCTGGGACTACATCAAATTAAAAGCCTCTGCACAGCAAAAGAGACAATAACCAAAACAAAGAGAAACCCCACCGACTGGGAGAACATTTTTGCACACAACACTAACAATAAAGGACTGATCACAAAAATCTATTTACTTATTTTTAAATATTTATTTAAGCATAAAAGAACTGGGGTACAGGCCAGAGGTGCAGGGGTGAGAGGATTCACTAGAGACAGAGTGGGGAGCAGAACAGGCAGCCTGACTAAAATACACTGCTGAGGGGAGCAGCAGGCAAGACAGGAGAGGTCTGCTGTGCCATGTGGGTCACCTCCCTAATCAGCTGTGGAACTTGTGTTGCAGTGGCTGCAGATAGTTTCATAGAGCTGAGACTTAACCCCTTGAGCCACCAGGGAGGGCCCCTATTTCTCATACTAAGTTTAAAGACAACTTGTGCATACTTGATCTTTAAAGGATTTGTAGCAATTAAGAAAATTTACCATAATAGATTAGCACTGCTAGTTCAGCTTAAAATATATATGTAAATAATTTTATAAACTTTTCTGAAAAGATAATTTTAATAGTGGATCATCTGAGAGCCACCATATTTGTATTAGTTTTAAATTTTTTTTTTTTTTTTTAAGATTTACTTGTTCATTTATACAAGCACTGGGTACAGTCAGAAGCACGGGGCGGGGTGTGTGTGTGTGTGTGTGTGTGTGTGAATTCACCAGAGCCAGAGCGGGGAACAGAACAGGCAGACTGACGAAATAAACGGCTGAGGGGAGCAGTGGGCGCAGCAGGAGAGGTTTGCTGAGCCATGTGGGACCCTCGCCAGCGGCCGGGGATTGAACCGGCGCTGCAGAGACTGTGGGCAGCTTCGCAGCCCAGCGCTCAACCGTTGTGCCACCAGGGGAGGCCCTAGTTTTAAATTATTAATAAATAACTGTAACTCTAGCTTTACTTTGAAACTCAGAATGAGGGAAGCAGGTCAATTGTTTGCCCAGCATTAGTTAATTAAAAAAGAAAGTAAAATATTTTCAATGTGTAAATATAGTTTAAAATATTTTTTAAAATTTAATTAAGTTATAAAAGTTCCCTTTTAAATAATTGCTAAATTTTACTAAACTTACAAATAGAATAAGTGATGTACAGGTGGCTTTCAAAAAAGTTTTAGGTTTTTCTTTTGTATTGAAAAACTAGGCTTTAAACTATATATATAACTTCAATATCTTGACTTTTAATTTTTTTTACATTTTAAATTAGCTACACATGGTCTTTCCCAGGCTCAAAGTCATCCTCAAAGATGCAAGGAAAAAAAACCCAGCAAAACAAAACAATTGATGTTGACAAGTTCTGCCACAACAAACTGTACGTTCTTTAAGATAGGACTTATGTTCTTCAGTATTACGTTTTCAGGGTCAGAAACCTGTGTTAAATGAATATCTGTTATATGCTTGCAGGAGACAAGGCCCTGCTGCTTTCCTCTCCCACATTATGTTTCCCTACTTGATTGCGAGTCCATAAAAACTTCACTGGTGGTACGTCCAGTACCCAGTACAGGACAGTATTTAATTAAGACATCTGGTCAGTAGATTAACGGTCAGTAGATTAATTGAATGCCATAGTGCCATAAGCCACTCATCTCTTCTCTGGAATAGCATTCTGTACATTGTGTCTATATCACAGTTCATTGTATTCCTCCCTTACTATACTAGTGGTAAGCCCTTTGAAGGCACTATTTTAATTTTCTCTGTATCCTCACATCATTTAATATAATGTCTTATCAGAAAGTAATCAATAAATATTTACTGAAAATTATGTTTAAATTTACACATTTTAAATGCAAGTAGAAACATCAAGTCAGTCATGGAGATGTCCCACATCGGGGCATGGAGGTCACCCTCATTCATGAGCAGGGATGAGATTGTGGGGGAGAAAGAGTGGAGGGAAGAGGAATAAAGGGTTAAATAAATAAAAGTTAAATAAAATAAAGGTAAAATCTTGAAGTGTTGCTCTATTTGTTCATTCAACAAATATTTTTGAATTCCTATAATACGTCAAGCATCAATGAAGGCAATGGAGAGAGTCATGAATAAGACAAATGCGATGCATGATTCACCATATTTCCTTTATCCTGCCTTTCCTATTGTGAAATTATGTGAGCTGGAACTTCTATGACCTATTTGCTTGAGTATTTGAGAAACAACAGTGAGCAGCGCTCCCCCTAACCATGACAGATATGTAATATTAGCAAGACATAAACTTTGTTGGGTTAATCTGCTGAGATATTGGGGTTCTTCATTTTTGCAGCAAAACTTAGGCTGCCCTGACTGACATTAGAGCTTACAGAGTCAACAATGGTCTCCTAAACTCAGAAAGTGACATTTAATCTGACACACAAAGAATGAACCAGTGCAAAACAGCTCTAAAGCAGAGCATGATGAATACTAGGAGGCAGAGAGATGAGAAGATTGAAGAGCACCACAGAATTGACATATAGTCAGTCAGAATAAAAGTGAAGAGATGTTGTTATGACATTTGTGGGGAGTAGTGGGCAAGAGATGAAGCAAAAGAGGGGATGAAGGAGCCTGGATGTGAAGTATCTTATAAATTTCATGAGTTGAAACATTACTGTGAGGACTACAATGTCACTGAAGGGCTTAAAGTAATGGACCAACATGTCAGGTTCATGACATAGAGGCATTTTTCTCACTGAGGTACAGAAAAGTGTCAGAGAGCTGTAGCAGTTGTCTGAGAGTATAGATTCCAGGTGAAAGATAACGGCAGCCCATAAGTGGGGAGGGGAGTGGTGAACCAATGGGTGTGGTGATGAGGAGAAACTGTGGCCAAGGATCATTCCTAGTTTGGCAAATGAAATGAACAGAGGAACTGCTGCTTTGGGGGTGGACTGTGGGTGCATTTAAAGAGCTGGTAGAGAAAAGCGCTTCAGCTCTTCCTCTCCCAAGACAAAGGGAAAAATAAGAGGAATAGGATATGGACTTTAGCATTTACTACAAATAGTGTCTCCTGTTGACTTTGGGTGCTGAATTCAAGACAATGAAAACGTTTAAAAGTAGTTCCACAGTGGTTCTTTACTATTTTTTAAAGACTGAACCAAAACAGCATTCAAGGCGGTGTCCTATAAATTCAGGGGGCTGTTCAGGAAGCATTGAAAATAGCGTTTCAAAACATCTCAGAATTCTACTAAAGGCTCAGCAGCCACGTAACTCTTTCAGGTTGCAATAGTGTGGATTAGAGCCACCCGGTCTGGGATGCCACAGACTGGCTACTTGCATAGTAGAGACTTGCTACTCTACATTTTTCTTGAATTAACCCTTCTCCTTTTCTGAAAACAGAGTAGAGCTTCCCTGGCTACAGGGGCCTCATTAGGAC